AAAAAAAAACCAACAGAAGAGCATATATTATAAAAAGCCTTGTGATGCCACAGACAATTTCCCAGGAGACAAAGTGGTTATCTAGCCTTATCCCCAAAACATACATCTTCGGCAACACTGGAAAAAGCGTGTCATACAGAGACTGAGTAAAGAAAAGCCCATCGACACAATAATGGTCGTTTCATTAGTTTAGTTTTAGTAAAAGTTTCACGGCACTTGCAACACAATCAGGCCATATAAGTTTAAATAAGATAAGAAGTGTAAACAAGGGAGTAACAAGCATACACATGAAGGAGGAGAGAATGATAAGGACGATAAACGTTTGGAAGGAAAGAAGGAGCAAACCACACCAAAGCACCCACCAACGGCCATTTAGCGCTGGGAAAAGTAAGACAGGCTAACAGAATGAACAGAGGGAAAGAAAATAAGTAGGACCTACCAGTGACCCCCTCCAACCACCCCTCCCATACAGAGAGTCGTCAGCGGAAGGAAATATACCAATAGAAATGTATTACCACGCCCCTATACACGCAATTTGGACCAGATGTCTCAAACTCGCCACCCGCAGGATGATCTCTCTGGCCCCTAATTGACTTTAAAGCAAAGGGTTGGAGCGGCCCGCACGTTTTCCTCGCACGCACTTTTTTTTCCAATGTGTTGCCTTGGGTTTGTATAATTGTGTCACAAATACGGACTACATTAGCCCGGGTTCGCAACAGCTGTGTTGTTAAAAAATGTTAAACTTCATTTCAAAGTTATACTTTACATTTTAGTAGGAGTTTTACAGCACTTGTAACACAATAAGATTACATAAGTGCCAAAGATTACTGGTGTTACAAACATACACAGGGAGGCGCGATAAGGACGAATTAATGTGTGTTTGTGTCAGGCTCACCCGACCCAGACTTAATCTTAGCGGCCCTCTGGAAAGTAGTGCTTGAAAATCTCTGATTTAGACTAGAGTCAAGCCTGTTCGAACGGCCACCTCTATTATTAAGCAATCATCTGTACGAAAGACCACTTTTTATTTCTTCCTTTGCATATTTGTTACATTATAATGATACATGTACTACAGTATGTAAGAGGGCCATCAGTTCTCCTCAACCATAAGTTTAGACAGTTTAGACGGTTTCGACAAGGCCGGCTGCTTTGCTCTTTTCCTGTGAAGGCCAACCCGCGCGCCATGTGGGATACAGCATCCCGGGAAATAGAAGGAAGCATCCGGTGTTTTTATCCAATTTCATTCTTTAAAAAAAAAATGACTTCCCCCAATCAATATCGACCGCGTGTCGTCTGCGTGCAACCGTGAAGCGCCTAGCTAAGCTGTAAGACCACAGATGCCGGTATACATACATGGGGGGACATTGTGTTGGGGCTGTGGCGAGAGCAGCTGTGACAGCAGCCAGGGCTCATTCAGAAGTATTATTTTAAAAGACAGTACTTCCAGTTTCATCAAATGTTCAGAAGAGCCCCCCCCC